TATTAATAATATTTAACAGAAGAACTTGCCCAGCACCTAACTCAAGGAAGTGATATTTGCCCATGACATTCATTAGAACTACTTTACCTCACAAGGAATAATCAGGACTGTATTTACCTTATATACCCTTTCAATATATGGCTCCAAGCATAATCTTTGAAGAAGCATAATATAAAGCTTATGCAAACTGGACACGATAGGAAGCAAGCAAGAGACTCCTTTTACTTATAACCATGTAATTGGTGCAGTTATTCAGCGCGTAATTTGAATTTCAGAAGAAAAAACTTAGTCATCACAAAGAAGTAAAATGAACATAACGTTTAAAGTAGAGAAAAATATATAAAATTCCTTTTCCTTTGAAATTTTCTCCAAATGAGAAATCCACTCTGCTGAAGAGCAGCCACCACAGCAATGCCCAGCAAAGACCAAATGGAAAATTATCAGTGGAGGACAAAAGGAAGAGGTCCTAAGGACACACATGTGACCTTGACTCTGCCCATGGCTCATGGCAGGCAGCTGCTACGTGTGATTCTTGTCGAGAGAGGAAGCAGAGATGTGCACTGTCCTGGGGGAATATGTGTGCTGTTTATATATGGTGTTGAAAGGCAAGAGGGTGAAGTACAGCTAGTAGAGTGCTGGGGAGGATATAAAATGATTGAAGATGTGTGTCCTCATGTGTGTAATAGCCTCAGTTGGGTTGAGGGGCTGGGTGGGGGGAGGCAAAGAATTAAAGAAAAGAAGGCATTCCTAATGGATTCTTTATTTTCTGCTCAGCAATCAACAGCACTAGAAAAGCTCCATCCTCTCTATTACATTTTGATGTATTTTTTCTTTGTTTATGCAGTTGTCATGCTCATTTTTGTTGTTATATATGTGAAAGAAGCTACAGAAAGTTCTGTCTGTCTCATAAAAATCACATAACTGCTACAGATACCATAAAATACTTTTGCATTAATTTTTTTGATTTTATATCAATTTATCTGTCTGCTGTATGACTCTTTTGGTTGATGGTCATTTTTTAAAAACTTCTGTGTGAGTTGCTAGGGAATAACAATGAGCTGGAAACAAAATTAATTTTAATTTTCCTCTGTCTGAAGAAAAAGTGAGTTTTTTGAAACTGTTACAAGACTGACATCTTTCAGTAAGTACTGTTTCCTAGCCACCCTATATTTTTCCAGTTAATATGTTCTCCTTTTGGAATGGCCAGATGACATATTTTAAAGACCAGATGTGAAGTGTTGTTGGTCCAGTGTCATCTGTGTTATTTCCATGCCATTCAAATAACTTTCATGGAAGTGGTAGCTTTTCTAGGAGACTGGCTTTTTAAGCCAATAAAATTATGGAGGGCACAGGTATGGTTTCCATGGCTGAGGAGAGGAAATGAACAACAGTGGAATGTTTCCACTTGTCATGAAGACAAGATTTGGCCAAAGGACTCTGAGATGATGGCAAAGTAGAATAAAACTTACTGATAAATAGTTGAAAAATCTACTGCAATTACTGCCCTGTGAATCCAAAAGTATTTTACTTAATACTAATGATCTTGATACTGGTACTGAACCATAACTAATGTTACAAATTTGCAAAAATTAAAAGAACATTGCCTAAAATATCAATGTGTCCTAACACCAAGGTCATTCTGAAATGATATGGCTCTTGCCTAGTTACCCAGACAACCCAGGAAGGATCTTTTCCTAGCAGACTCCACCAAGCTAACTACAGTTTTATTTAATGTATAAAGAAGATTGTTGACAAATACTCTAATGAAGCATTTTCTCCATAATTATATTAGTCCCAGGTGTGCCCCATAGATCCATGATGCAGAGCATTTCCTCTGGCAAATGTCCTCTGCTCTGCTCCCACACTGTTCTCCCCAGAAAAGCTTCACCCCCTCTCCCAGCTTGTCAGCAGCTGTGCTGTAGAGCAAGCAGAGAGCCAGGCAGGCACACAGGTTTCGTTGAATGCTCAACTAGGCTCCAACTCTGCCACCACCTTGAGGTTCAGCATCCTGTCTCTTCCCCAAAGGCTGACACTGCAATTCCTAAGAATGCTGAGGTGTCGGAGAGAAGGCCAGCTCCTCCTAAAGACTAAGGCCATTCAGCTATTCCATACAGATGCCCAAATGCTAAAATAAGGTACCTGACAAACTAAAAGTAACACTGCCACAGGATGCTGCCTAATAGAGGATGAGATACTACAAGGATGCAGTCTGAGACCCAAATTCAGTAAGACAATTTGAACTGTTAGAAGTATATGAAAATTTCCTTGTTAGTATTTATTGCTTATGTATAACCACATATTTCTAAGTGTAGCATCACTGTAAAATTAAGGCATGAAATGAAATGCCACGTACATTGTACAAGAGCTACCAATTAGATGCACACTGGAACCTACTCCTGTGAAGGAAGATTTCATGGAAAAGCTGTACCAGTAAGCAGAAAGAGACTTCCATTCACGTCACTCAATTGTCTAGCCTCAGATCCATTTTATTTCTATTCTT